TAAACTGGACCGAACCTTTCTTCCATAAATTTTTTGAGTTCATTATTTGTTGTCGAAAATGGTACGTTTTTTAAAAATATGGTTTTACCATCTTCAACATCATTAGACTCACGTTTGAAATTTTGTCTCCTAATTAATTCTTTGTCGTCCTCTTCTTCTTCTTCTGATAAATCTTTTATATCCTCTTGATTTTTTTCAGTCGATCTATAAATTTCAATTGATAATTGGTAATATATATTTTTTAAGTAATATATTTGTAAGRGTTAATTTCTTCATTACTTACAAACTTATATAATCGTTTTTAGAATCATCATTCTGATATTCTTCGCATTCCATCTTTATTTCAGCATCAAYATTATCTTCCTTTATATTTCCTGGGTTATTTTTATCTTTTTTATACTTACTTTTTGGTATTGCCCAATCAACCACGATAGATCTACCTTGAAGTATCTTCATGTTTGCATGATGTATTGCTTTCGCTGCACTTTGTACACGATCAAATTGTACAAAACCACAACCAACAGGTTTTCCATTTTTCTCTAATATCTTTACTTCTTCAAGTTTACCATACTCATTAAAATATTCTTTTAAATTATCCTCTGTGAACTACACAATAACAACAAATACTTAAAATTAAGAAAATAAATTTGATATGTTTAATAATACAATAAAACCACTTACTTGAAATGGCAGATTTCTTATTATTATCCTTGCTCTCTTCTTACGAACATTTTCTTTATAAATTTGTTTATTTTTTAACGAATGTATATTTTTTCTTTCCATAATTTAGAATGTATCTTTTGAATGATTTTTTAAAGGTTCTTATATAGTTTTTATAATTAAATTAGATAATATTTTGTATGTTTTTAATTGTATATAATATTTATAATAAAAACACGTGCATATACTTCTATAAATGTTGTTTTCATGCGTGCGCACGTTTTCTAGGCGCGCGCACGTTTTCATGCGTGCGCACATTTTCATGCGCGCGCACTTTTTCATAAAACCATATCCGGTCTACCAAGTAAATTTTCAATCTTAACAATCCCCGTTTTTCAATTATAGCCCTAAGGCGCATTATGCGGCATAATGCTCAATGTTGAATGTTCCAACTAGAGCATCGCATCGCACAATCGAGCACTATAAAAAGTGTTGCTCTCGCGTGATGCTTGCAAACGATACCAACTCAGTAGCAGAAAATAACCAAGTGTTTTTTCTTTAAGTTGGTGGCGGTGGTAGGGGGGAGAGAAAGGGTGGTGGTGTTGGTGGTGGTAGGGGGGTAAAGGGTGGTGGTGCTGCACCTTTCCAAAATTTGTTGACTAAAAAAAAAAGGTCATCAAATCTTCGAAATTCCAAATTGGATCGTACACCACGAATTTTGGATCGTACAGGGCCTCAAATTATCGTACGAATGGGATCGCTGGTGAGGAGGCAGGAGGTCAAGCCATCGAATTCGGATGACGTCATCGCCGACGCTGTCGCCGGCGAGATAGCGCATCTGTCGAACAAGCTGCGACGGTGTCCGGTCCTCCATGGTCAACCCTGAGAAAAGCTTTTGAAGCCGCTGAACCGTAGTATCGCCGAAGCGAGCGAGGATCTGCGCTTTAAGATGCTCATACTTCCCGGTGGGGGGAGGGTGGTAGAGCACGTCTTCTATCTCTTCCCAAGTATCGATGTCCAACCTCGCTACAGTCGCATGATACCGATCGGAATCAGAACGAATACCATGGCAGAAGAAAAATGATTCCATTAGCAAGAACCACGTCTCCGGGTTTCAACGCGAAAAGCATGGCCAAGGGTAGTTGGACTGATGTCCGGCGTCGTCTGGAGCGGAGCTGATGGCGTTGGTGTGAGCAGGAACCACGGTGGTGAAGGCTGGTGCGACGGTCGGCGCCGTGATCGGTGCAGGAGCCGGTACTGGGGCCCGTTGACTAGCAAAGTCTTGCGTGGGCGGACTTCTCGCCGCAACCGCATCTGGCTGGCCGCCGGTAGCGTGCTGCGAAGCTTCGGATGGCCTGGTCGGCATCTTCTCGGAAAGAAAAGCACACACGAAGTAGGAAAAAGTCAAGGAGCGTACGTACGAGAGTGGTGCGAAAGGAACAAAAAACAAAATGGCTGCCGAAGACAGGACCACGACTTGAAAATGGCCGTTAGTCGATGCCACGAATCAAGATGGCCGTCGAAGACAAGACCACGACTTGAAAAATGGCCGTTAAACAGGGCCAAGTCAGGCAAGAGAAGATGGCCGACCAGTGGCGAAACCGAGCGAGCGAAGAGAAGTGAGAAAAAACACGTGGTCGAACTGGTTCCGGAGATCACGTCGGGGTCACCAGTGTGGGAAATCCAATGTCCGCGGGCCGAATGGCTAGTTACTGACCACCGTAACGACCAATGAGAAAGCCGGACACAACAAGGGATTTCACCTTTTTTATTTGCGATCTCTCAGAACAGATTTTATTCAACAAAATACAAATTTTATACACACACGCACAACGAGATACAGAATGATAAATTAATACGGAAGAGAGAGCAAGCGCAGTCGACTGATAAGCTTGGCGAGTAAAATTGAACTCCTGTCCAAAAATCCGTTGGATCGATGATCTCCGAGAAGCGAGGAGATGATCCGGGATGTTCGTTACTAGGCCCGACCAATCAGATTCCTAGGCGCAATTACGCCGCGAGTTCTGACCAATCGGCCGCCTCCACATCACGGTTTGGTTACAAAGCCGAGGCAGAAAGTGTCGCTGCAATACACGCGCAACCTCTAGTAGTTTTTTGGTACGTCTGCCGAACTTGGCGCTGGCAGCCGCGAGATGTCGGCACCGTCCTGGTGCAAGACATCGGAGCTACGGATAGTCAACCATGGTGTGTCAGCACCGAGCAGGTGCGGGACGCCGTAATCACTCCCCCCTCTGGACCGGACGCCGGAGGCGGACGGAATTAGACTTGCGGAGAAGCTGAGTCGAAGTCCCTGGTCAGGCGGTTCGAAGTTGGAGGTGACGTAGAGTGACTGCGTGGCGACGGCTGTAGAGGGTAGCGATGAGACGACTACGAGTCCTGTCGCAGCAGGCGCTGCTGGCACTACGGGCAGGTGTCCGGATGCAGCCGGAGGCCGAGAAGGCGAAGACTGTGATGCTGCAAAGACCGCTACTGCGATGCCGTAAGAACTGGAGACGAGGTATGCAGCGACCGCTCCGGTGCTGCGATCTAGGAGATGCGACAGCCGTGAAGTCGTCAAAGAAACCCAAGTACGCCGGTGTCTAGGCGTCCGTGGGTGGCCTTAAGTACGGCGGTGCGAAGATGTCGTGTATGTCGCAGGTCACCTGGATTCCCTCACCGTTGAGGTGCCGGAGCTTGAGGGAGGTGGATACTGCGAGCGATGGAGAGCTCGTTGTCGYGAGCTTGTGCATCCGCGACGGTCCTCGACCGAGAGCAGAAAGTAGGCTGACAGAGATGCAGGCTGAAGTCGCCGCTGGCCGGTCTGGGACGGGAGCTTCCTTCATAGTCCATGCGAGGGCGTCGGCGACGAGGCTAACTGCACCGAAKACATACTGAAACGAACAAGTCA